ATATGAAATGACGTAAAATTACTTTACAGAGTCTTTTAGTAATAGCATAATTCAGAATATCAGACCAATAGGAAAGAAAATTTTGCTTAGGAAGTTCACATTCTTTTCCTCTAGTGTATATTATGGGAACTCTGCTTTTCTTTTCTTTTTTTTAAAATTGATGACTTATTACTCTGTCTTTTGTTTCTCATTGAGGAAAATGAAACATAGACAAACACATAACTCAAACACAGCTCTGAAACTGAATAAGGTAGTAACCTATTATTAAATTTGAGCAGACTAAACACTTTTTAAAAGAAGAATCAAGTTTCAAGCTTTAGCTTTGTGCTTGTCATTTAGACTTTGGAATAATCATATTTGCTGAGGCTGAAGCACTTGATGCTCTGCAGGCTCTGAACTGATTGGAAAACTTAGTGAGTTACTACTTTTTCTAATAGTTCTAACCATATACTTGTTGTCCTTCCCAGATGTCATATGGTACAGGACTTCCTATTGTATAACTGATGGGCGAATCCCTAAATTGTAATGCTAAGTTTATGGCACTTTTCTGGGTAAATATACAAGTAGGGTCTCTGTATGGCAAGCGTCCTTTACCTAACTATCTCCAGAGGCAACAATCCTATAAAAATATGCTTCCTCCCCGTCCCCGCCACCGCCCCCCACCCCCGCGAAGAAATAGATTCATCATCCCAGGAAGGGAATTAGATATTGAAATATGACAAACTTTACAAAGGATTTTTTTTTTTTTTTTACCTCTTCTGGTGCCAATATTTATTGTCTGATGGGCGAAGAGATCCCCAAGGACGTGTAAGATTTCTTCCTTGCTTTGGCCCCAGGCATCTCCTAAGAACAAGTTGTGCTTTTCTGCAAAAGTTCTGCAAACTTTCTGCAAGAAGGTAACATGCAGGTGCTTATGCAGTGCCAGTTCAGATTTACAAAGGTAATAACAACAAAACACTTTCAATATGGATCAAGTTCAGACTCAAAAGATATTAACTTTTAGTTTTGTTTGAGATTTTGTGTTATTCCTCTCTGTCCTTCAGATGGTTCTCCCTGAAGTAGAAACATTAAAAGAAAAGTGAGCAAAAGCCCTTAAAAAGTTATCTCAGCTCTGAGTTCCCATTGGATCCAGTTCCTATAAATCCTTGGAGTGTGGCCTACTGAGCAAAGTTTAGATATTATCCACCAACAAAGCATTGGTCCCTATCATTCAGAATATAGAAATTGCTGTTGCTGTAGTTAACCAGTGTATGCTCTTAGTTTTAAATAGGGTGTGGTTTACAAGAATTTTAATTTATGGTCATGGACATTACCCACTTACTTCAGGTCTAATTTCAGCTGGAACAGTTATTTGACAAGGCATTCATGTGGCTAAGAACCTCTGCCTCTTTTATTTAAGCTGCTGATAGATTTAGCTGTTCCCTTTTTGAAGATTTGCACATTTCCTGGCTTACTTGGAACTGGTACCATGTGGGATCAAAGACAACTGGAGACCCTGTATTAATTCTAATAAATGTTAAAACAAAAGTTAAGCTCCATTGTCTGGTTCCTGTTGTAACTGGAAAGAATAGCTCATTCACAAGAAGAAAATGAATAAAAAATTAGGAACAGGGTGCCTTATCTATTCCAAATGTGGGTATAGATATCTGTTTTGTTTTTCTCTCACTGTATCATACTGCCAAGAAAGTCATATTTGGTTACAACTCTGAGGCCTTCATTGGGGTCTTCTGCTCTAGGGATGGGAGGAACCCAACTCTTTTATAGTGCCTGGCTCCCCTTGGTCCCCAGCTTTTGTTTCCCTGTGGTTGTAGAGAGGCCCATGATGACAGACAGCGACATTACTGTCTTTGTGCCATGCTTCTTCAACTTCCTTTGCTGAGGTGTGTGGGTATGCGCTGGTATTTGGGAATAATTTGGCTTTAGGGGAGATGTAAAACATCTGTCACCTTTGCGTGGGGATCGGCCCCAGATGCCAGCCAGACTCTGATTCCATGGGCCATCCCATGAACTTTTCTCAGCGTTCAGGAGCGGCATGGAGCCTTTGGAGGACCATTCTCTCCACCTGGAACCATGGCCCTTCACTTGTAAACCTCCAATAAAGAAATCATAGAGGAATAAAAGGGAAGTTAAAACCTGGGAAATGAAATTCCAACTGATGACAAGTGGCCTAATATTTCAGTTCTGTTATGTGATATTTTCTCAGGTTTTTAGTCATAAAAGATCTTTCTACAAGATGGTAGAGAGTCTGTGGGATTATAAGGCAGTTCTATTGTATGAGAGATTAAATGATTCCCAGGTGTTTCAAAAGAACCAGGGATTGTTAGGATTATCGATTACTGACACAATTACGTGACTCAGTTTCTAAATGGGGCCTGGGGTGAGTTTCAGTTTCCTCATAAGTAAAATGGGGAAATAATTTTTGCTTAATGTGGTTGGTGTGAAAATGAACGAGATGGTGCATACAAAGCCCTTAGCACTATGTCTGTCATAGAATAAGCACCCAATAAAATAACAAATATGTACACACACATGCACACATTCTTTTAGCTCCACTTTCAGGTCTTGTCTGTTTATGCCTTCTGTTCAGAAAGTTTCTTTATCTGTAAGTCTAGTCCCTACATCTGGCCTAATTTCTAGTGTCTGATTTAATCAGCTGTTGTTTATATTCCCATTTAGCTGTCCTTTAAATGGTCACATGTTTCCTTGACCTAATGACAGTGACTTTTGTTTTTTAATTTTATTGAATTCATTGGGATGACATTAGTTAATATAATTATATATGTTTCAGGTATACACTTCTATAATATATCATCTGTGTATTGTATTATGTGTTTACTACCCTAAATCACTTTTGAAGTAAACCTATTACAGTGGTGATTTTAGGATTCACAGAATCATGTAACTTTTGAACCTTATTGGAAAGATGAGAAGAATGAGGTCTAGAGAATATAGGTAATTTCCCTTAAATCACATGACTTCAAATCTAGATTATTGGGTCCTCATTACAAATGCAACAGGATCCTTCAGGCTGAGAGCCCTGAAGCCCTGCCCAGACTTCCAACTGTGAAAGGATTAGGTGAGGGAGGACTTCATAATGATAAGGTGGTTACGAATTATGTGGCCTTGTGCAAGTTCTTTAACTTATTTCTTCATTTCTAAAATAATACGCACCCTACATATCTCACAGAATCTTGTGAGATCAAGATTCTAGACAATGTGGGAGAAATGTTTGTAAACTGCAAAATGCTTCATAAATACTAAATTTATCTTATATAAGCGCACAACACATAACTGTCATATGTATATATTGGATACATAGATGTATATGTGTGCACCTTAATAAATTAATTAATGTGCCAAGGAAACCAATTTTCAATAAAATCCTTTGCAAATCTTTTATCAGTGATGCCTGATTTATGATCATCTGTGGTAGGCTCTCTGTGTCCTGCAAAGACAGCTCAGTATCTTGGAGATTAGGCAAAGCTTGAGGAAGAATGCACGTGGGGATTTTGCTGCCTTGGAATCCAAGTCAACCATTTGGTTACTTAACAGGTAGGAAAGGCCCTTGCCCTTAGGGAATCAGACGTTGCCTCGGCAGGACTGATTAAATGGGACTATCAAGCTATTTTCAGCTTCACGGATATTAAGCTATTTCTTTGAATCTCAATGGATAATTTACTGGGATTAACTGCTCTCTGCATGACTTAGAAATGTAACTACAATGCTAGTTTCTTGTCATATAGGAATTTATAAGGAGAGAGCAGAAATGGCAAATTTGTTTTGATGTGAGGGCTCTCTGCGGTTGACTGGTGGTGATGTCTTAGAGAACTGTACTGAGATTGGAGACCCAGCATGGGTCAGCTGGACAAGTGCCCTAACTCACTCAACGGTGTCTGCCGTAGGCTCAGGTGGAAATAATGCATGTACGTCGTAGAAATAGCACTAAGGCCTCAGTTATAATCCTGGTGTTGCCACATCTACATGAGAGACCGTGAATGAGACTCCTAATCACTCAGGACTTCAGTTTTCTTCATTTGCAAAAGAATTGGCATGGCCCAACTTCTCTCCACGGTCCTTTCTAGTTCTTACATTTTCTGTTTCTGAGCAAGGAACAGTTTATACAGCTTCATTCATGTCAACTCAAGTACACCTTTACTAAGGAAAATGACTGTCCTTAATGATTACAAGGGTATAATCCTACCCTATTTACCCTTTAGGATCTTTTGAGATCTAGATTCTAGAGAACATGTGTGGAAATATTTTGTAAACTGTGTAAATATTAGGCCACAAGTAGTGGCTTTAGATCCTCCAGTTTTCTAATAGTAAGCTTATGAATGAAATTCTATTTCTTTTAAAGAGTATTTATTCTCAGAACATTCTTTTAGCTATAGCAAAGGAAATTAAAATTAATTTTATTTTTAGCAGGTGGGAGTTGAATGTAACATTTGACTTGGAATTTTTCATCACCCTCTATGCCTCTCAAAGTGAGATAGAATTGGTAAATTTTCCTTTGCTGTTAAGGAAAAGGAATTTACATGCTTACGTATTTCTTTTTGTTTGGTATAAGAAGTTACAAAATCTTTTTTCCTTCCAGCCCCCTGAAATCAGGCTTAACATGAACTCAGCAGATTTTCTGACCAATTTTAGCAAAATCACTTTTTTTCCAGTTAGAAAGAAGTCATTCCACAAACTAAGGTGTCATTCAAATGTTATGGGCCCCGAAAGTCGAAGGCAGGATCTCTTGAAGTTACCCAGATGGAGGTTTGGAAATCCTTCCCTAGGGCAACCCACTGCACGCAGTATTCCCAGTATTCCTCCTTTGGGATGTATGGTTTTATTTTCTTTCCTATTCGCCTTTTATCTAAAGGACTGGGAGGTTGTGGATGGCCCGTCAGTATCTTAATTAAGGCAAAGGGTGGGGAGTGGCGACGTTAGCACAGGCCTCCCACTGGCTTTTGAGGGAAAGATCCCAGGAATGATTGCTCGGTCTCTGTTTTCAGATCAGACTCCGACCCCAACAAGGTTCCTGAAGAACTGCGAGGAAGTGGGGCTCTTCAGTGAGCTGGACTGCTCCCTGGAGCATGAGTTCAGGAAGGCGCAGGAGGAGGAGAGCAGCAAGCGGGTAGGTTGGCTTGGACGGACGCCGTGACAGGTGCCTCCTCGAACCCCTGGTAGAAGCTTCTGTGTGGGCTATGGATGGTATTGAGGTTGCTTACTTATGTGGCCTGGTCCTTAAACAGTATTGTATCCATTTGCAAGTGTCTGTCTACTGTGTAAAAACAAAAACAAAAACAAAAACAAAAACAAAAACGATGTATCCCTGATGGTGATAGAATCCAAAGCTAGAAAAATCATGGGAAAAACTGGTATCTGAAATATGAAATTCAAGCAAAAGGGAAAAAAAAAGTACTACCTGTTTTTTAAAACTGAGTCAGATAAACTCAGACTTTCTGTCAAAACTAGTTGTTTTGCTTTGCTGAATATTTAATAGCAAGCCTTACATGGTGGGGCGAATGCAGAAGACAAGAGTCAAGGAGACAACAGGTGAAAAATGAGAGCAGTAGCGGAGGGGGTTTCTCTGAGCTTTGACCCAGGTTGCAACTCTGATTTCCATAATCTGCCCCATAGATCTCCACCAGATTCAGATACTTCAGGGTCAAGTTATTGAACATCTGTTTCTGTTGAGACAAATAGGTTAACCGTAAGTGTGGATTGTTTGTTCTTACAAATATAGAAAACCCACTTTATGAATCCCTCCAGAATATATTCAGTTTTATTGTAATGTTGTGCTAGCATTTTCAAATCACTTTATAAGATTAAGGAAAGGAAATGAGGTCATAAGTAAGTGTGATAATGAAGCTCTTCAGTATTTTTTCATAGTTTTTATAGAGCATTATTGAATGCTCAAAACGTACTAAAGAACAAATTAGATACATTCCATGAACAGAGTCTTAAAATGTGAAAGTTAGTTGACAGGAAGGACCAGCGAGGTTGTAATGGATTCTGAAATTCCAGCTGATCCATCCGGAGGAGAAATTGTAAAAGGTTCTGATATTTCTCTAAGTGTTTCAAAACCTTTGAATCCTTCTCTATGTGAAATGTTAATAATTCCCCTCCTCCAGGTTTTTCATGTCATGTTCTCACATCAAAATAGTCAAGGGCTTGTATGCCGTCTGCATTGCTTTAGAAAAATTATGAAAATAGGTGAAGGTTACAGTATAAGGGGTATAAAATTCAACCAACTCATTTTATTTGTTTATAATTAATCTATCACTTATACTTGATGCCCAGTCCCCAACACCTCAATAGGAGAAAGGATCTTTTTTTCTTTTTTTTAAGCAAACACTTACTTAGCTCATATTTGCCGGATACTATTCTGAGTGCTTGAAAAATTAACTCAATAAAATAAAAGGCATTTATCCTATATTTGATTGCAATAGAAACAGATTTCTTAAAAAAAAGTAAAACCCATGAAAATAGCAAGAGAGAAGAAGAGCCCCAAACTAAGAAGTTTAGTGCATTTATTCTAATTGAATAATAAATGTAGTCTTCCTGGTAGGCATGGCATATGTAAAAGACTAAGGGAATAAGTTCATTCATTCCTCAAGATAGTCGAGGTTGGCCTCTTAGATTAAACGAACTATATGAAAGTTGTGTACCTGGTTCATATTGTCTTCATTCCTGATAAAGTGGCTTTAACAGAAGTGTATGCCTTTGATTTTCCCAAAGACATTTGCCAAGGACAGCTTTGTGAAGCCCATGGTAGAGGCATGATTTAGATAGTCCCCACTGCACAGTACTCATGATCTTCTATGTGAAGTCCCGTAGCAGAGTTTGCTTCCCCTGAGGAACTGAAATATTTTCTCCTTGTGGACCTGAGAATCTTGCAACTGGTTCTGTTTCTCTTTTTGCTTTGACTGCTCGGTTAACATGAAGCCAAATTTACTGCTTAACTTTGAGAACTTTCTGGAACGTTGTTATGAGGGTATTTTACTTCCCCCAGACTTGACTTTCAGTTCTAGTTTATATTTCCTCTGGTCCTGATTATTAATTTAAGAAACATTGTCTTGCTATACATTTTTTTGTGAGTTGCTTTTGATTCCTTGTGAGTTGAGAAAGTATAAATAATTAAACTTAAAAAATGAAGATAATTAGGTGAGCAAAGTTGAAAAACAGGACTATTATAGTTGTAGAAAAAAGTATTTTCTCTCTTTTCCCTGTTGCTTTTTGCCGTGTGATAATTTCTCGATGGGTGTGTGGCGGTGGGGACCCGGCTGCAGCCTGCGGACTGCTGTCTCATGCCCCAGCTTCACCTGCATGCCCCAGAAGGTGGGCGGCACTAGGGCTGTTGAGGTGTCCTCTTCTCCTGCCTTGTTCTAAACCTGATGGGCCACACCCAGCCTCAGGTGCCCATGGCTCCACCAGAGGGCACCTTCTTATGGCCATTGCATGGTGGCTCATCCAAATGCGCTGTGCTGGGGGCTTCTGCTCTAGCATTTCTTTGGAGGCCACAGGGCGGGGAAATAAGGAGGACATGCTCTCCAGTCTGCCAATACAGTTTTACCTACAGCTCTGACCACAATTGTCGAGTTACCAACATCCCTGGCACACCACCAATCCCAGGTCCCACTTCGCTTATTTGTACCCTGCTTAAAAAAGTAGGCACACAGATCTTTATTTAATGTGTACCTTATTACTACCAAGTGCTAGCTTCTCCTTCTTCCCTTTTCTTCCACGTTCAGGCAATTATTTCTTTTTTATTTCTGTGTCCCTAACTCTCTTCTGATTAGTAAAATCTTCTTTTAGTAAAAGACTTGCATTAGTTTCCTCAGCAAGCTTTGGTAAAGTGGAAGATGGATTAATAGATCTGGAGAATTTGTTTGAAAAAGTTCTTTCTAGAACTTTCTAAGTACTTTATACCAAAATATTGGAAAGACTAGGCTAGTCCTTCCCTGTACTTTTAAATTTCTAGCTGTAGTTTGGTCTTGAAAATTCTATTAAAGAGCAGATAGAGAATTGATCCTTGCTTAGCCCATATGGCTGTACATTGGGGAAAATTATGTTCCACAGACTCTCTCCAATCCTTACACTCTTTTTCAAAAGTATTCTAATGTGTGTACAGGGTGAGGAGAGGCTAGAGGCAGGCCATGGCCTCTGGAAAAAGCCTCAATACCCACATCCATGCCCTAAACAGCAGGCACCACATCCCACAATTGCCTCAATTCTTCATGTCAGTGTGAGCTCAGAACCTCAAAACTCTCTAATAAGGAATCATTTTCCCCCTTGGAAAAGCATCCATCACTAGCAGACATGACAAATTTAAGATTGTCTATGGCTTAGAAGTCAGGCTATTCCATGTCCTAAAACAGATGAGAAATTTTGTTCATTATTTATTCACTCAAGAAACATTTTTGAGTGCCTACCACTTGCGAGGCATTGTCCGAGGCATTATGCAAGGCATTGGTGAATATACTACTGACTAAAGCTGGTTAGAAAAAGAAAATAAAACAACCTTGCCTTCATGTAACTTACTTCTAATGGGCAGGACAAATAAGAAGTAAAGACAGTAAAATATATAACATGTCAGAAGATGCTTAAAAGCTTTGGAGAAAAATACGGCGGGGAAGGGGCTCAGAGGTGGTCAGAGAAGGGGTGGCTTGTAAGTAGACTTTGGGTAGAGACCCAAAGGAGGAGGAGGCCTGGACCAGGGACAAGTTGGGGAGAAAAGGGAGGTTCCAAGTGGAGAGAGCAAGAAGTGCAAAGTCCTGAGGCTAGAGGATGCTCAGTGGGTTGGAGGAATTGGGAAGAGGCCAGTTTGGCTGGAGGAGAGTATGTAATAATGCTAAAGAGTGGGTGTGGGAGGGCAGATCCAGGAAGGCCTGGAGGCTTTGGCTTTTACTCTAAGTGAGATAGGGAACTATTGAACAGTTTTGAGCAGAGGAGTGATAGGATCTGAGTTATATAATAGAAATATCACCTTGGCTTTGGAGTCAAAAGGAAACTGTTGGAGGGCATCCGCAGAGAGAGCTCAGTTAGGATGGCATTGAAAGGGTCTAGATGAAAGATGGCGGTGCATTGGTCAAGATGGAGGTGGAGGGGTGGTTGGATTCTGGCTATATTCTGAAGAGGGAGACACTGGGATTGGCCGATGGGTTAGATCTGGGGAGTAGAAGAAAGAATGGAATCGAGGACAAACCCAGGTTTTAGGCTGATGCCATTAGAAGAATGGAGTTGTCTGTGGGAGGAGCCAGAAGGAAGGGAGAATGGAGAGGATTGTTTTTAGACTTGTTAAACAGAGATCTTGAATCAGTAGATAGATATCTAGGTCTGTAATTCAGGAGGTGGAAACCTGCATGGAGATGTAAATTTGGGAGTCATTAGCAGGCTGATGGTGTTTAAACATATTCTGGGCCAGGACTGACTAGAGATGAAGTAGAGAAAAGATCTGAACAGGGAACTTAGCAGAGCCCTTGGAATCTTCCAAGACAGAGAGTATTCAGCTGTCCTCAGTGGCCAGTGATGACACAGAAGATGATGAGGCGTGATGAATCAAGTCAAGTCTGGAAACCCCTACAGTAATGCTGAATGGAGTCCAATAACTGGCAGTTGGCATGCTGATTTTGTATTCCATATCAGAGGGAAACAAAAAAGATTTTTGAAAAATAAAGAAAGAAGAGGATGAATTGCTCTTTTACATTTGACTTTTTTTTTTAAGATTAAAGAATGCACATCTAGGAAGCTGGAGCGAGCTTCACCATCTGATAGCAGTTGTGTGCAAGTGTGTGTGTGTGTGTGTGTGTGTGTGAGAGAGAGAGGGAGAGAGAGAGAGAGAGAGAGAGAGAGAGAGAGGAAGGGGAGTTGAAAGGACTAGATATTAACTCCTTTGTCTTGCTGAGAGAAATACAACATTCCAGCCTAACGTGGTTAAGGACCCTGACGATGAAAAGTGCTGTTATAAGTGCTAAGTGTTGTTATGCTCCCCTAGGACCTAAATCCGACTCATTATGCTGATGCAGCAATAGCAAATTAGGACATTTCCATGCTCTAGAATTCCTACCCAAATGATGAAAAGTGCAGTCTATTCCCAGAGGGTGTTGACTGTTTAACACACGGGAACGAGGG